GCCAGGATGGAGCCCTGGGGCGCCCTGTGTGTGGAGAGCCAGAAGGTGGGAAAGAATCACAGAGGGAGAGCAGCTGTGTAGCCGGAGGCCTGAGGTGGAGCACGACTTCTCCAGCTGCTGGGAAAGGAAGGAGCCTGGGCTTTCAGCTCTGCGGCTGAGTTCAGCAAGGCGGAGCATTGGAAATGGGCGAGAGCTGGGGGAGTGGGGAGCCGGCAGTGTGAAAGCAAAGCGGGATGGGACAGTGCTTTGTGTCCGGATGGAAGACAAGAGCTGAGGAGATGTGGAGTCAAGAAGCAGTTCCTGAAAATGGGAAGTGTTCGTCCTGCATGCATGCCAAGAGAGCTACCCTGTGGGAGGGGGCCTGGGAGTGCCCAGAAGGAGAGCACCAGGGCAGGAATCCAATCCTAACCCTAGGGAAGGACCTGGTCTGGAAAGGATGGATCTGGCTTTAGATACAGCAGGAACAATTCTTTCATTGTATGAGGTCCGAAGTGCTCTGCTACTGAGCTGCATCCCTAGAAGTGAATGTTTTAAACATTCAACCTGCACATGGGCTTTGTGGTTGCCAGGTCCCCTGAGACACTTTCTCCCTAGAGCAAGAATCATCACTTGCTTCTCTGGCCTGATTTGTATGGCTCCGAGGACCCCCCCTTGTCTCCCAAACCCAGGTGCCAAGTCCTCTCTGTTCTCTTAAAATAACTGCTGTGATGTCACTGTTTACTTTTGTAAAAATCCTCCATCCCTCCTTTCTTTGCAGTGGAGGGGAAGAGCAGCCTTACTATCTCCTTTTACAATAGAAGTCTTTTTTCAAAATCCTCTTCTGTCTCCTAAATTCAGTAGCTATTGTGCTATAAAATAACAAAAGTCCTCATTAACCTGACTAAAAAGACTGGGAAGCAGGAAGAGGTTAGTGTTGAGGATTGGGATACTTAGAGCACCAGTAACACACTGCCACGCTTCTAAAAAGCCAGTTTTCAGGGATGAGCCAGAGACTTATGTGACTTGGATCCAGTGACCCAATCATTCCTCTAATACAATGAAAGATAAGCACGAAGATTTGTATTCATCACAATATTGGTCCCAATAATGAAAAACTAGGGGTAGCAGCCATATCCAGCAGGCCTTGGCCAGATAAATTCTATTTCTGATTCTTATGCAACCATTCAAAATCATGTTTGAAATTCAGACACTATGGCCTTTTTCTATGATCCCAGCTACTTGAGAGGCCAAGGAGGGAGGATCTCTTGAGCCCACAAGTTCTGGGCCAGCCTGGACAACATAGTGAGACCCCATCTTCAAAAAAAGTCACATTTGAGTTTACTATATGGGAAAATATTTATACTAATACTAATTTAAAAGACAAGATATAAAGCTCTATGGGTGCTATGATCTCAAATCTTTTTAAAAAATTATATCCTTAGAGAAAGATACAGCCCAAAACAGTGGTTATCTCCAAGAGGTGGAATATTATATAATTTATATGTTTACATTTAGCATTCTTTATTTTTATATTTTCTATAATGTCTTGGCGTTTTTGTTTTTGTTTTGTTTTGTTTTTTTTGTACTGGGAATTGAACTCATGACCTCACACTTGCCAGGCATGTCTTGGTGTTTTATTTTGTTTTTTTAGTACTTGGGAATTGAACTCAGGACCTTGCACTTGCAATGTGTTGGTGTTTTATAATCAGGAAAAGATGTAGAGAATATAAAGCAAACACACTGAAAGCTAAACAACCTTGTCTAATTTTGAAAAAAAGAGTACAATTAAATTTTTTTGTTTCTATTTCAAAAAATGAGGAAATATGGGGTAAAAGAGTAATTTTCCTGCGGTGCCAGTTTTGTAGCTGCTATGGCTGCATCAGGTGTGCCGGCAGCAACTCTGCCTGCTGCCTAACCATGGGCATCTACCACAGACCTTCAGAAGATGATGCAGGTCCCTGTGGATGAGCTTTTTCAGAAAAGAAATCAGATATTTCCAAATTCACCAAGACCTACCTCTCTTGCTCTCAGATCAGTGTGCTCTTTAGCTCAAATCAAGGCTGCTGCAAATGCCGCGAGTTAAGCAAACAGCACTGCAAATCAAGTTCAAACTGCAGCGGTTCTCTTGGGCCAGTGCCTGGGAAGCAGCTGGACAGGAGAGCTGGCTTCTGAGTGGGGCCAGATGGCACAGCATCTGTAGCCTGGTGCTCCCTAAGGTGGGTCTTGGAGTTGGGTTGCCATGTGCCCTGCTGAGGCTGTCACCTTCAGGGGCCAGAAGTGTCTCTTTCCCTGGACATTCAGGGACACACACACACACACACACACACACACACACACACACACATACAGAGAGAGAGAGAAGGAGGAGGAGATCTAGCATGTGCTCCAGGTGTAATGGATTGTAAGGGCTGATAGCTCTTCCCAGTAACCAAAATCATAGATTGTCTACTTTTCTGGTGACAGGGTCCCTGGGAAGGAAAGTGTCCCTTACAATGTCAGCGAAAGAACACAGAATAAGGATTATATGGAAGAGATGTAGCACTTTGCCCAAGCCCTGGGAAGCCCCTGGATGTGGCCATCCCTAACATTTGCCCTATCCAACCAAGGATGCAAGGCAGTGACCTTTGGGAATCCTGTATCTGTTGCTGATGACTCTCCATCTGTTGACACTGTGTGTCTCAGAGAGATACCAAACTCGTAGCAGAGCCACTGCCAAAGGCTGCACCATGCAGGTCACACCTGTCCATGTAACAGTAGCATGCTGCTATGGTCCTTCTTTCCAGGGCTTTTCTGCCACCTACCTGTGCTCTTAGCTCCTAGAAGCCAGAATGGCCTGTATTCTTATCAAGGTGAGGAAGGAGGTGGCACAGTGAAAATCAGACACCTGCCTTTTCCAGTAATTCACTGCAGGTCTTGGGTCAGGCTCCCGCCCTCACTGTCTTTTTTCCTCAGCTGCAAACTTTGTGTTTGGATGCAGTTATCCCTGTCCACAGAGAAGTCTACAATTTGGGGACTAAGAAAAGTAAAGACAAGATAGTATGAGTTTCCTCCTGGGAAAAGCAGGTGAGAAAAAGGATAGAAGCAGTCACCACCATTTGTTGGAGCTTGCTTAGCCATCCTGAGTGTGGTGGAATAGTCTACTCCATCCCCATATCCCTAGCAAGTGGCACTAATTTATTCCTACTTTTCTGATGAGGAAACTGAGCCCAGGAGATGTTAACGTAACTTGCTCCAGATCACATAATGAATATGCTGGACTCGTGCACCTCTGGCCCCTGTAGTCCATCATTTTCCTCTGCTTTGGGGAGAGGTGAGAGGCAGGATTCAGTCTAACCCAGTTGTCCACTGCAGGTCAACTTGCCTTTTCAAATGTGCTTCCCTTATTTGGGCACCAACATCCTTTGGGTTTTTCCTATTTAGGAAGGTGAGTTAGAGAATGGAGGAGTCTCCTGAGGCACACTTAATGTTCTAGAAAGGAAAGTGATTGTTTCCCTTCTTTTATTTCTCAAGACAAAATAATTATTTCCTCTTGCCTGGGGATTCTGAAAATAGAATAAACATTAATCCAAAGTCTCAACTCAACAGTTGGAAGTAGGATCAGGTCATCATGGAGCAACCTGTGACCACCGAAGGGAGCCCCACTCCTCCCTCCACTGGTTGTTTGAGCCCCCAAAGCTAACAGCCACAAGATTCCTCCCCTGACTCCACTCCCAGTCTCTTTCACTATCTGCATGACGATTGTTCACATTGTAAAAGCGTTCCATTCTCGTACACCTCATTAAACATGAAATTTCCTCAGCCTGGATAGCACTTTCTGCCTATAAAACCCCTTAGCTCTAAAAACTCAAGCCAGCTTTCAGTGCCCCTGTGCTAGCACATAATGCAAGCCACGCTTATGTGGTGTGATCAAAATATATGGGAAACATTTAAATTAAAAAAGTATTACAGAAAAAAGACACATTGCCACGAATCGCCCTCAGCATACGCTCCCTGACTTATCCTGTCATTCTCACTACTCTCTGAGGCAGTTCTGGAAGTCCCCTTTTATGAGTGTTTTTATGAGTGGTGAACAAAAATATGGTGAATGCTGCTGCACGTGTGTCACCCAGTGGAAATGAGGCTTGTAAAACCACTACAGTGTGTCCTTCACAAGCCTGGCACCATGTGACTTCTGGTTCTCTTCCAAAGTCCAGATGACCATGGTGGATATGGGTAAACATTTTCAATCAGTTTAGGACATCAGCACAGCCACAACAGCACAAGTAAAGACACTCACAGAAGAGAACTTCCAGAACTGCTTCAGAAGCAGCAAGACTGATGGGATACATATGTTTAAAGTGAGGGAGGGTATTTTGAACAGGATTATGGCAATATGCCTTTACTACAATAAATTTAAAAATTTCCTTTAAAGAGAAGAAAAAAATAAAAATGTAAAACAAGATAATAGAAGAGTAATAATGATTAATATATTGCATATTGTTACCTCTAAATTACTCAGAGTACAATATACATTTTTTTCCAATGAACTAAGAGAAATTAATAGTATGACTATCTTAACTATCTTACTATATAATTTTTTTCTCCCCTTTCTTATTTTCTCCTTTCCCTCATCCCAGTTTCTCTTTTCTTTTTAACAGTTTCTTCCCATTTCACAGTATCTATTGCACATTTTGGATCTTGTTTACTCTTTCAGCTTCTCACACTAGGGAGACAATACCATGTTTACACATGTGAGTCTGATTTATTTCACTTATGAGTATGGTTTCAAATTGCACCCATTTACCGATAAAGTCTCCAGTTTATCCTTCTTTATGGCTGAGTAGTACTCCACTGTATAAAAAGTCCACATCTTTTTTTATACATTCCTTGGTTGATGGGCATTTGGGTTGTTTCCAAGATCTAACTATTACAAATTGTGCTACTATAAACATGGGTGCACATATATTGCTTGTGTATGATGTTTTTAATTCTTCTGGGAAGATACCCAGAAAATAAATTTTTTAAAAAATTAACATTCGTCATATTTTTCAATAACTCCTCATTTATTCACTTTTCATTTAAATGGTAAATCCTTGAGGGCAGAGGCATGATCTCATTGCCTTTGGAATAGCTCTGGACCTGAGCTTACACAGTGCATGTAATATGTGCTCAAGAAAGGCTTTATGAGAAACTAATTTCACATGTACGTACCAAGAGCTATAAAGTTCCCATGCCCTGTGATCCAGTTATTCCCCATGGGAAGGAACTTATCTAAAGGAAAATAATTGAAGAAGGCAAAAATAATGCAGATAAAGGTGATACACAGTGTGTATTTGTTAAACACTGGAAACAAGTTGAATGTTTATCAACAGAGTAATGGTGAGTAGATGATGATTAGATGGTGAGTAGATGATGGTACATGATCCTGAAGGAACATGATTCATTCTCATTCATTAAACGTACGAACTGCTAAGAATGCTAGGACGCAGCAGTGAGTCAGATGCCACATCTGCCTCAGTGAGTGTGCAATCCGGCAGAGTCTTCTAAAATGATTATTACACAAGAGAGCTACTTGCAATTCAATGCTGAAGAAAAGCAGGTTATAAAACTGTACATTGTTAGGGTTGGAACTCTAAACACACACTGTTAAATGCAGGAGTGAAAATATGTGTGATTAGCCCATAGGTGATATTTTCTTCAGCACTATTACAATTGGTTTTTGAGCTTTGAAGTTTTAGACCACCCCCAATGTTTACTGAGGAAGAAGGCTTTCCGCATTGGCAGTAGAAAGAGTAATGGGGATTTTTTTCCCAGATGGGCAGGGGTTCCCTGGAAGTGACTGGGGGGAGGAATATTCAGGTAGAGTGGGAGGCTTGGGCCTAATAGGTTTGTTGATCTAAGTGTTCCTTGAATGCTGAAATAGGATCCAGTGTCCTCTCTGTCTGGGCTATGTCCTTCAGGCTCCTCCCACACCGTCACCACTCTTCTGGCCAGAGGGCACCACTACAAGGTGCAGAAAAGCTGAAGTGTGAAACCAGATTAGAAGGTTAAGGCCTGAAAGAGTGACTGGTTTTTCATACTGGAAAGGGTGTTCCCTATTGACAAATACCAATATTCCTTGACCACACATGAGGAAATGAAAGCTCTGTTGGCCCCAACCTACCCAGCAGGCCAGAGTTAGGATTGGAATCCACCCCTTGACACTGGGGCAGGGTTCTTTTTATTTCTCCTTCAGGGCCCGACAACAGGTGGAAGGAGGTGCCTTTTATGGAAAAGACCTGGCTGACAGGGTAGGTGGAATCCTCTGGGGAGGACTCTTTCCTCTGAAGAATTCCTTCAGAATCTGTAGGCTGGATGGCACGGTGGAGGGCCTCAGAGACCCGGCCTTTGAGTTTGGACTTGATGCAGTGAGCAGGAGGGAACCCTTGCAGGGTGGTAAAGAAACGGGTTTAATGAAGAGGAAGCTGGCACTGGGTACTGGTTCAAGTGATCAGGGAGGTACTGGCTCAGGTACGTGGTAAGAATGGTGTATGGCTCTTATTCTGTCTGGTCAGGACAGTGCTCACCCCTACAAGTTCTTGGAGATCTGTCTTCCTCAACTTTCTAGTCATGAGATTGCAGTAGAAGCGTCCGTTTGCTATGTGCTGCTTTGTGGGACACCACCACCTGGTCCAAAGATGAGGTCTGGTACCAGCTTAACCAGTCAGAACCCTTCCCTGGGAATTCTGACCTTGGGACCGGAAAGGAGTGGGTTCCAGTCCCTCTCTGGTGATAAAGCTGCGTTATGTGAGCCTGGATCTGCCACTACTCAAAGATTTGAAGATTAGTGAAAGGAAGCTCTAGTTAGATTCAGGTCCTGTTTTCCACTCAGTCTGAGGGCTCACCCGTCCCCTCGCCTATGTCAATATGTGAACAGTACTCACCCCCTCCCTTTAACTAAGCTGGTCTGGGTTTAATTTTTGTCATCTTTAAGCAAAAAGGTCCCGACTTTCCAGTAAAAGACATGTGTGTCCTTTATAATTCAAATTTTAAGCACAATTCTTGAAAAGACTCATGTTGTCTTGTTAGTAGTGAGTCCATATTTCTTCCATGTAAGAAGCAACCACAAAAATCGATCCTCCTTACTCAGCGTCAGCTTCAGGAACTCCGCGTTCCCACAGAGACAGGCTTTGGGGACCCCTTCAGAGAAGGATGGATGTATCTCCATCGCTTGTGTAGTGAGTGAAATTGCTGCTCAGGATGCTCCCCTGCCTGCTCCTTTGTGACTCTGAAGTGGAGAAACTCACATGAACTGAAGGACCGCACAGGACCACCCTGCATTTCCTGTACAGGTGGGAAAGGTATCTTTTGAACTTCTCTCCAGCAAATGCGTAGATAAGGGGGTTGAGGCAACAGTGGCTGAATGCCAAAGTCTCGGATACATTGAGGGCCAACTTCAGATTTCTCTTCAGGTCACAACTGGAAAAGAAGTTGTAGAGTTTGAGAGTCTCAAGGAAAATCATAACATTGTAGGGTGTCCAGAAGAGGAAAAACACAATGACCACCAGTAAGATGAGTTTGATGGCTCTAGATTTCTTCTGGTTCTTGCAGGAAAACAGTGTCTGGATGATTCTGAAGTAGCAGAAACTCATGATGAGCAGGGGCAGCAGGAAGCCCAGAACATTTGTTTCCACATTGCGGAGCACAGGCCAGATTTCCTGAAGGATGTCAGGGTAGTCACCCAGGCATTCGTTTTGTTTCTGCTTTGTGAACATGAACTGGGGCGCCGCCACCAGGATGGCTGCTGCCCACACGCTCAGGCTGATGGTGACGCCATGCTGCACAGTCCGGTTATTCATGGAGTTGACTGCTAAGACGATGGCCATGTACCTGTCAATGCTGATGATGGTGATGAAGAATATACCTCCAAAGAAGCCAATGTAGAAGAAGGCAGTAGTGATTTTGCACACTGCATTGTGGAAGCCTTCTTCATTGATCACATAGTGAATCCAAAAAGGCAATGTGGCCACGAAGAGCAGATCAGACAAGGCCAGGTTCAGGAGGTAAATGTCGGTGATGCTCTTGGGCTTCCGGCTCTTGGTGAGAGCAAACACCACCAACAGATTTCCCACCAGACCAAAAGCAAAGACAAGAGAGTAAAATATGGGCAAGAAGATGGTCCCAAAGGCTACGATGTCCCCCACGTCACAGGCTTCTGCAGACATATCATACTCAAAGTACTCTGTGTTGGATTCAGGGTAGGAAGTGGGCATGGTGAAGGCCTGGATCAAAAGAGAAAACAAATGGCAGTGTTATCCTCAAAGGAACAAGTGTGGAATTCTGTCTGGCCCCATACAGAGGGAGAAGGGAAAAGATAAATATTGGTTGGGGGGCTATTACCTTTTCTACCCACACCTGTGCCGTCTTGTTAGTCCCCACAGGGCTCCTGGGGATACTACAGATGCCTTGGGCAGAAGAGACAGTTAGGGCCCTGAGAGGTTCAAAGAGGTCCCTGAGAGGACTTGACCAAAGCCAGGTGTCAGCGGCTCAGCCAACACTTGGAGCTAGGCTTTTTGGAAAATGAAATAGGCCTGTTTTGACTCTTCAAATCTCTCCAAAAAGTATCCAGCTTGACTAGTGTGTGCAGGTTGCAGGAAGGAGCCTGGGCAGAAAGTGAGAAGTGGGATCGAGTAGGGTGATAGTGGAGGGGGCTTCCTCCAGTCCAGTCTTCCCCAGAGTAATTCTCTATCTTCACTTCCATCTTTTCCACCCCTGCACCCTTGTTTCTCCTCCGTGACTCTAGGCCTGGGAGAGACAGGTCCCAGACACTCTCCCAGGGTCCTGACAAGCTGAGCCAGAAGCGCTCCTCTTTTTCTCCTCTCTTCCTCTTGGGACCAACAAGGCCTGCTCTTCCTCGGGAGGGATCAGATAGAGACTCACACACTGCAAGTGACTCTCTTGCTTTGGGTTTTAGCATGGAGAATCCCATGTAGGGAAACCCCTCAACCCCAAGCAAGTTGGAATGGCTGGCTGTCCCACAGCTCTAGGGGGTGAGAACTCATTGTTATGCAGCTGCAGAAGGATCAGCTGATCTGAGGTGGTGGTGGGCTGGACTCCAGTGGTGAATTCACCTGGACATCATTAACTCTGGGTTTCCCCACTATTCTTTTTTTTTTTTTTTAATTTTAAAAATAAAAGGAGGAAAACATTAACAGACAGACAACCTTTTACAAAATAGCAAAAGAACAGTACAGACAATACAGAGTTACAAACAAAGTGGTAGGAAGTTAACCATGCTTGTTGTATTACATATTGATATCTTCAAAGTGGTTTCTCATGAAAACAGATAGAGACATGCAATATTGATCAATCAAGGACTTATTGGCAGTTACTTTCAGCAAAGAAATAGAAGACAGTAGAACAACCATGTTAACTATCCTGTATATACACACATACAAAATTTCTCCTTCTTTCCCTTCTCTTTCCCCACATCCCAGTTGCCCTTTACCCTTGAGTGCTTTCCTATCATTTCACAATGTCTATCATACCTTAATCTGTTTCCTTCTGAGCAAGAACTGGAAGGAAGACATTTCTGCATGGGTTGGGCATAAACCTTATCCCAGTCCCAACCAGGACGTTTTGGACATTTATTTGAGAGGCTGCACATGAGGTGGACTTTCCACATATAGGCCCTTCAGAAACTCAAACAAATCTTCAAGTCTTCAAGCACATCTCGTAGTTATCATTGCCTCTTTGCTTATCAAAAGCGAAAGCAAACCTCACACTTCTTTACCTAAGGGAGTTTCCACTGCTCTCTGCAGCCTGTCCATGGTGGTTTTACCCAGGCGGTATCTCTATGAACAAGGGCCCACCAGCCACAGCACTGCTTCTGCCTTCCCAGCCTCTTCCGCAAGGAAGTGGGCTAAGGCTGACCTTCTTGGGCTACGTTGGGCCCTGAGAAGTTTCTCAGCTCCAGGCAAGGTATGTGGTTTTGTTGCTGCAGGCTATAAGGACCCTTTCTATGGAGCCAAACCTCAGGTTGTGGCCTTAATCAATAACATATACATTGATCAGTGTGAAGTGGCTGACCTGTAGCTAGTTTTTGAGCTCCACAAGCCTCAATTGCATATGTCTGAGTGTCTGTAGCTTGCCGTAGACCATCATCTTCCCAGTGTGCTGCTGCATGACAGTGGAAATTTAAAGACCTTGGAGGCTATGAGTGAGGGACCCTGGGTTAGTAAATGCTAATTTCATTTCCCGCATTAGATGAGGAAGCCCTTTGGGTCTTTGGACTGTCCAGGCCACCTGTAGACTCTCTTGTTTCACCCCTACTCTGGCACCTTGGACATTTTGTAGGTTGTTCTAGTTTTTCCCCTGGTGGTAGGGCACTTACTTTTCAGCTTAGTTTGGAGGGATGGAGAGTAAGCTACTCCTTATGAAGCTTGTACTAAACTGATCTTACTGTTAGACATTCCACATGCACTCTAGTCTAGTTACTCTTCCTTACAATTCTGAAAGGGAAGTTGTGTTTCTAATTCACTGCTGCTAAATGGCTCCAGGGATATTTGAGAGGCGAAAAAGAGGAAGGTTGGGACAAAGTGTAGAGCAGGCAGTGGTAGCTAGAAATAAGAACTGACTGGCTGAGCACCAAGGGAGTCCCACTTTCAGCCCTGATGCTGGATATCCCAGCTCAGGGATGCCACACATCTGGGGCATCTTCTCTAATTTGCACCAAGATTCTGAATAATAATAATAAGCCAGGGGTTGGTCCCATACACCCATGCAGCAAACATGTCTGAAACGCCACATGTGGCACAGGGCTCTGTTGACCCTCTCCCAGAGATCGCTCAGGCTCCCCTCCCCCATCAGGGGTGAAGGGGCTTTCATCTCAGTGGAGAAAATGCATATAGATCAACTTTGATTAAGACAGAATCAGACAAGTGGGCCAAGGCATCCTCTTGCAGTTGGGGTGCTATTGCAGATACCATGGCGGAAGCAATGACCCTGCCTGGCTGGTGAGCACATTACTTACTGAGATCCAGTGGCTGGCTCTGGATATCAGTCTGGATTGGGACTGCTTCCTGACCTCCGGTGAGAACAGAACAACACTCAGTCACACTCTTTCTGGCTACTTTGTGGCTGAGAGTCCTTAGCAATGTCCCAGGTCCCACAGGAGCCCCTCTCCATGATGCCATAGTGCTATGCATTTGCAAGCTGATCACCCCACATAACACAAGGACCGCTAAGAGCCATTCCGGACCACATTCCAGAGTGAGGAGTGGGAAGTGTTGAGAGCTGCTGGAGCTGGATAGCTGTCATGTGTGTGAGGGCAGGACAGAGCCAGAGTGCCTCAGGCAGTCCAGCTTCCTCAGTATTAAAAAAAGCATCCTGCCTGGACAATTACAGTCGTTAGTCGCTAGGCAACATTACCTCTCCAGATACTAACTTTGCAAGAGTATAAAATAAGCCCCCTACTGTAGAAGTCAGTCCTCTTGCCTATCAAGTAAGAGGTAACTCCACTCGATCCCGGCTATTGTTTCTTTTCTTTATTTTCTAAATCCTCTCGCCGTTTTCTCCCAGGGACAACCAAGAGACCACCGAGTCCCACAGGGAAGGATATCAACAGGCCCCTCACACACATCTAAGCCTCACAGCGGGCCTGATGATGTGAATTAAGCACCTTGCCCACCACAGAGCCAGAAGCAGTAGTGGGAAGCAGGACTAAAGTTGATTCCCCCCTGTTCCCGCCACACTCCTCCTTCCCTCCCCAAAGATGAAGGATGAGGAGAGGAGAGAGGTAGGGACACAATAGCCACCAAACAGCAGAGGAGTGAACAGCCATCCAAGCGACCATCCCAGCCCTTCCCAGCAGATTTATAGGTTCTCTGAGAGCCTGAGAATGAAGTAACACATGTGCACACTCGAGTTTATCACCGAGACACATTCACGCACATATTCAAGGAAGTGCAGGAACAGGGCCACAGCAAGCCTGCATGGAGGTGGTAGGAAACCACCCCGGGCTCCTCTGCAAGGCAGGGCACACCAAGCCATGGCATACCTTCAAATTTACCCAGCACCTGCTTATAAGCAAAAACAGAGCCAGGCAGATCTGTAAGTGCTGTGGCAGAATAATCTCTGTGGTACTGGTGAGTGAGGGCCCACAGGTAGGGTACGCTCCCATTTGTGGAAAGGAGTGCTTTGTGTTGTTGGGTTAAAGTCTGAATATCTCTGGAGGGACGGGCTTGTGGTAATAGCCGCAGTTACTACTGGAGGGCAGCTCTAGTGACCAGAGGATGGGGGAAAGGTGAGTTAAGTTTTGCTATAAAAGCTTGGAAATTTTTTTTTTTTTTTTTTTTTTTTTGCCATGGACACATATAACCTATTTTAGGAATTGTTTTAATCAATTGACTTGGAAATTTAAAAATAAAAATGTATGAATTATATGAAAAACTAAAAGAAATAAGTAACTCAGTACAAGTACCAAGCACACTGTACATGCTCCTTAAGTGGCACCTGACATGCGAAAGGATTATTTCTGCTTTCTGGGCAAATAGATGCCCTCAGAGGGAGAGTAACCCACTCCAGGCCACAGCTTGTTGGTGGCAGGGCTGCAGTTTGTGCCCAGATGTGTCCTGCTTCATCACTTTCTTCAGCTTTGCATTATAGCGGGACCTGCCCAACCCACAGGGGTTGCAAGAAGCACACTCTGGGGGAATGCACCAAGAAAGCTGAGGCTATACCTTGGGTCTCAGGGCAGTAGTCAGGAAGAACCCAGGTCCCCACTAAGGTGTTTTCAGCTCTCTGCACCCTCTAGTTGGTTAAGCCCAAAGTTTACTGACTGGTGCTGAGATGGGAGAATCTGAGCCAAACCTAGAAGCAGAACTTGGTCAGTGTGTGAGTCCCATACCCAAGTGGAGACGACTTCTGTACAACCTACTTTATAAAGCTCCCACAGTCCTCCACTGCCCATCCTGGTCCACTTCCTCTGGCCACTTCCTTTTCTCATGCCTACTCACTTGTTTTTTTAACTGTTTTCATGGGTGGGGTAGGAGGCATCCTTAACCATTATTTCCAACCAGCTTCTCTTTTCTACACTTCCTCCTCTTTTAAGAGGCCAATCCATTTTTCCTTGTATCTGACATCCCTTTTTGATCCCTTTCCCCTTCTTTTGCCTCACATCCTGCTTACTGTTTCTCAATCTAATGCAGCATGTCTTTGTGTATTACTTTCCTTGGTCCTTTTTCTGTTTTTTTAAAAATTTTGAGTGAAGTTTAAGTTTGGG